AACTGGAACATGCGTGACAAGAATAAAGTTAATTTGCTGGAATACATGTGCATGCTTCCGTCGCAGCCGGATATCGTTGCTTTCTCGCAAGTATGACCAATTCAAACAAGATGACGCGTCCAGTTCTACCGTGATATGGTCAATACGCTGGTCATATCACAGCACGCTGAACTCTCATGTGTCAATCAGGAAGACATTGTCTGTGAAGTGATGTTCTACATGTCATCCGAGATGTTGTGGTCTAGCATTTGCCTTAGGCAACTACCAGTAAAATAACTGTCAGTGGCAAAGTCCACAGTCGCGACTTCGGAATGATAGGCCAGTGGTCACTTGAATACTCTATCCGTGTGTTTAGAGGTTTAGCCACAGTTGAACTTGCTAGTAAATTACTACCAGTTCCCCATATATCCAGGAGACACTTTGTCCTCAAATAGGAATCTACATTCACATCTGCAAATGCATTGCACTTGTATGGCCGGCTTTTTTTATTCGAGCATGCGCTAACTGTTTTAATTATTGTTAAGCAAATTGAACCCGTCAACAAAGTTTTAATCATGCTTTTGAGTATATATATATATATATATATATATATATATATATATATATATATATATTGAGAAATGGCTCCTAATATAGGAACAGATCAGCATGAACAGAAATGATCATGCCCTTGCATGAGTGTATATTGGTGACGATTATTTGTTTTTACATATTTTTGTTCATCCTGAAATATTCCATCAAGTGATTTGTCGGATGAGATCGCGAATACTACCACTTCCAGATCAAAGAAATTATCGAGCTTTGTGTGGAACAATGTAGGGTTTTTTTTACATACCCGGACTGTGGTTGATGAACTGTTCCACAAAACGCCGCATCCGATGAAGACAATGTTAGAGCGCACGGCGGTTCTAGCCCATGTTACAAGTAGCGTAGATATTTTGTTGCAGAGTCTGAAGTATATCTTGTCCTAATTCGAAATTGGGCAGGTAGAGGTACGTTTTCTGATGTCACAAATTGTGAAGGAGAACCAAGATTTGCTTCAGTGGTCTCAGCTAGAGGGGCTCGAAGTGAAGTTGCTTACAAGGTTCGTGGTAGTTTGGGGTATATGTGCGTTTGGTTAATGGTCTCTGTAAATTTTCCATAGCTTTTCTGTCCAACTAGTTGCAAGAAAATCTATGCCGTCCAGCGTGTCCACAGGCAATCGACGTTTTCTAGTTTCGATGATTTTTGCCGATTTGCTCGACATGAAACTAGTGTCCCAACATGTGAGCAAACTCGCTCAAAATGGTTATGCTAAGTGGGAATGGATCACGGACGCAACGGACCGTTGTAATTCGACGTAAGCCATGACGATCCGCCGTTGTCCCCAATGGCAGAAATTGCTGGGTACTGGCGAAAGTCGCAAGACGGGGAAATCATGAGTTCAGCTGCTGATGCAGCAGGGGGATGCGCACCAAAGGGATGAAATGGCCGCCTGATGCTTTAAGGATACATGGTAGACCATTGAATTGGAAGCTATCGTGACGGACTCTCGATACAGCTCTAAGTTAGTCTACGGGTCGTGTCTGCGCGATAACCATGGAGGTCTGATTCCCGCAGAATCATGCTCTTTGTCAAAGGTCAGGTCAACCTGCTTTAACTATCCTGATTCTTGTCCGCGCCTACTTGCCTTCTGTGTCTGTCAAATGCACTGCACCTGATTCCGTTAAGCACCAACTCTGCCTCCAGTCCTATGGCTTCTGCTATCCGTGAGTCATCGCTAACTGTGAAGTGGCAATTCCCTAGCCTCACTAGATAACAGAAACTGTGAGGAACCCACCCGAAAATGTCCACATCACCTCGCTGCTTATTTCAACTGAGTGCATGAAGAGTGGACAGATTGCTTGACTATCCAACAGCATGAGAAATTGGGTGCCTACGTTAAGCACTTCGAATTGAACAGTACGCAGCGAAGTGGGTTATAGTACAGGACACCGCTTGCTTCCCAAGTGTGCGAACCCTTCACTGACATCGAATACCATGCCAGCCCGTTGTTCGGGCCTGATATTGTCAGCTGTCACTGACTTCAAACGGACCGTACATGAGAGACGGGTAAGGCACGGAGGGTGTATACAGACGCGAAGCCCGCGAAAAAAAGGCCAGAGGGACTAAGCACAGATTCATCTGCTTTGGTACGGGGAGGATTTGTATGGGTAGTCCACTCTAATCGCCCGCTGCCAGGAAGGACTAATTACATTGGACTATCTGAATTCCATAGTGACATGATAATACAGTGACATCTGGTCGTTTAAGCATCCAAACGACGCGTACAGAGCACACCAGACAGATCAGGAGTGTCATTACAATACGAGCACAAATGACCCCTCATGCTATTGAGAGTGGCTACGATGATGCGCTATAAATTGCTAGGCAGTTGAGATAATGCAGTATTCATTGACGGACGATGGAGCGGAGAGCAAGATGTGCGCCATTTAGTCGAGCTATCCTACTTCCGGTCAGCCGGTATCTCAGAATGACTCTCTACCACAGGGATGTTATGCTAGAGGAATAAAGCTAACAGAATCCACAACAATTAGGAAATGTAGGATGGGATTCTAAGCAAGTCTCGTCCATTACGGCCACCACCATTTTAACTTAATGGAAACAACCCCACACGATAATTTACAGGAGGAAAAAACCTAAGAGGATTAGGATCAGCTTGAAAAAGCGTCGTCACAACTATGGTCAGTCAGGCGGTCAATGTACACCCGGAAAGCACTGGGCAGCAGTTTCTATCTGTAATCACGCTAGTCTAAGAATCAGCAATTGCTTAAGCTGGTTTACAGTGTTTTTGGACGCCGAAGACGAGAACAATGGAAGTTGCATCTCTGAGAATCAGCTATGGTTTCTGCCCGTTGGAAACGTGCATCATATTGGACAGTAAGTGTTAAGCTACATGCCACAGCTTGTTACCTGATCACGAAGGACACCGTCCGTCCGTGGCCTAATGGCTTTAACGAGCAGCTAGGAGTGTAACTCTGGTTATTCACCGGACAGATGCAATGTGCACCACTGAAGAGTCAAACGGAGTGAAACGGTTGTCCAGTGTTCATTGTTGGGTCACTGGAATACCCACCGTATGCCTGGATTGTGACACGCACCCTAAGCGTTTGCCATTCCGATCACTAGGACCACATTCAAAGTGGAGAGCATCGAAGCTGCTCTCTCCTAACACTGCACTGCACGACCGACAGTTCCTTCCCGCTCAACTTGAGCTCAGAGTAGAACTCGACTCATAGTGCAGTGCAGTGGTGAGACAGAGCAGTTGCGAAGATTTCCACGTCTGTTCAGTGTGTTTCCGGATGTGCAGTGCCTAGTAAGCTGATTTTATCTGTGATGAAAGTCCCCTGAAAAATGAACACGCTGTAGAGTAGGGGACCAGCTGCATTGTGCACCTGGAGTGAGAGAAACGAGCTAATGGGTAATGAATGAGACTTTGGGGAGAAAATGTGACTTCAAGGTCATCCCGACCGGAAGTAAAAGGAATGAGGCAATAAAAACTAGTATAAACCTGCTTACATTGCAAACCAAATGAGTGACACTCTGCGCATGCCTACCGATGGAGTGTGCCGGTAATGTGACCGCTCAACCATTACTGGGTGTACGCGCTAGGTGCGTGGCGCTGATGTGAAGTGGGGCGTGAGTCCCTTAAACGAATGTACTTCGCCCAGTGCACGCTCCCTCATTGACTCAATCCTTTTCGCTCGAATGGTGAGTGATAGGGACGCCGAAGTGAGCGCTATGCTACAGTGACTTGCATAACACATGCATAGGGAGAAGACAGTTAATCCCGATTCGTTGTCAGAGCCGATGTACCAGAAAGAGAAACCCAGCACGATATTGGGGGCCTCAAAATTGGGTCCCAAGTACAAAATGTAGGCGTATGGGTGAACATGGTGGGACGGAGTGGAGAATGAGTCGCGTTATATCGTCATTAACCATCAGGGATGACAGTCCACCGCCGTCATTCGTGGGTCAGTAGCACGTCGCTGACTCGTGGGAGAAGTGACAATGGTTTAGACCCAACAAGGCCCAATGGATTCGCGCCGGTGGCGTGCCGAGAGAACGAAGCGGTCGTCTAGCGCTCTCCCAGATATGCGGAAGACTCTCCGACTGGGAGTTGACTGTGAAGAACGGTCTGTAATTTACATCAAAAATTTCCTACTCACGCAAGTCATTCTCCTCTCACCCGGCCAGCAATTCGGACAAACATCCTGATGGGAAATGGTGAAAATTCTTGTGGGGTTGCCAGCCCCGTTCCGTCCTTGTTTGTACCGTTCAAGTCGATGTACTCAGTAAAATCTTCGACCATTAGGCAACGGAATTATGCCGGCAACGCTTAGTACATACGCAGTGTGCTCCAAAACCCAACAATCAATTATTCTGGGTGCGTACTAGGGTGCATAACAGATATACATGCACATCAACTTATATCACCGGAATTCGGGGCTTGAATATCAAAGTGAAAAGAGATTTCTCATTGAAAGCTAAGGTGCGAGTTCGAGCTAGAACCCACCAGAAAATCAATGGTGACAAGGCGCAATCATTTCAGTGGCACACTCTTCAAGCTATTTCTTCGGCTACCGTGATCTCCAGAGTGTAGAAAAAACGCCCCAATGATTCAGGAGAAGAACTGGGGAGTCAGACTTTAAGTGCGTGAGCGCATAGTCCACAGAAGCAAAAAACTTATTGGTTAAAACATTTGCGGTGTGGAGAGCCAAGTTAGGTTGATAGCTGATTGCAGCAACGATCCGGAAAGACAGATCAAAAAATGAATAACTAAACAAGACCTGAACAAGAGGTAGAAGAGTAGAAGATGTGTCGAGATCCCATATAAGATATCGCTGCGAGATAAAATACTCCCGCATCCTGCATCGAATTGAAATGCGTACGCAGTACTCAATTCAACACCTGCCGGCGCGCAGGATCAAGTACAATGTCTCAGGTCATGGGGCACTCACTTGCTAAGCCTCGGCGGCCGAATCCAGCGCAGATAAGATCCGTCGCCGACTAGTAAGTCACCGGCCGCATCCGTCAGCAAACTATGCAGGTGCAGAGTGGGAGAGCCGCGAGCAAGCTGGTTAGAAGCGCAATGTGGACACGAGTCGGGTGACCTGCGAGCGCCATCTTCGGTCTGGCCAAGTACTGGAGTCACACGCCAATCGGTGTACTTCAAAAACAGATGCGATCCGTCACCACTACGAAAGGAACAGTAGAGTAGTGTTCTCAGAGCGTGAGGATGTAGCATGGAATATCAGATTAAAACCTAGCCCCGCGATTGTCACAATGAGTGAACGTAAAAATTGTCACAATCGGACTCAACTAGTAAACACCGTTAAATAAAGTAGCCGGGTTTCCCAAATATTTTGAAACACAGGAACTGCTTCTAACCCACTCCAATCGTCAGAACACAAAGCAAGCCGGAACTGGGGCATATTTACCATAATAGAGCGACAGTTTTTATATGTAAAATAATAAGGGGTACAGTACAGCTCTCTGAAAGTCAAATACCTTCACATTTTGAGCTAAACTTAATCGTCGAGCTAGATTAGGTCTGCATCGCATCTCAGATTGAGTTCTATCTACGTGCGGTAAGTCTGAACACGCTCCGAAGAGCATTCATCCGCATTGATGGGATCCGTTGTTCCTTCGATACCTCACACTTTGGGTGTCGCAAATTATTTACTACTTTGTAATTGATAGTAGTACGTCGGTAAGGAAAACCATAGTTCGCTTGTCAATCTGAGTGACTCGAAGGTCTTATCCTTCATCATGGACGACCGCATGTATGTTGATGGAGAGTGAGCAGTGCCATTTCACAACGAGTCACCTAGCTGCGTGTGCTGATAGCGTAGGTCGCGGTCAACAAATAACGATTTTAGCTAGAGAGGGCACGCGGTTAGTAACACGTTAGTAGAAAGTACGATGTTGTTAAGCAGCTCAGAATGACCAATGAGGTTGTCAAAAGTCTGATTAGGATTCGAATGAATTTCGACATAATGAATGTTATGCGAACACCACATCCTCAACATGGAATCACAGGATGTGTAACGGGGCTCGTCATATGTGTACAAGAAAAGATTCATGGAAGATGTAACGACTCTGTTGTGGCAGAGAATGTAGAGAAAGGGCTATGGCAGCCTTTCGGCAGGAAACAGCCGGAAACTACTGCTATTGTGCGGTGGTTTGGAAAACCCCATGGCAGTTTACATTAACGGCAAACACATGATCTGTTTTCTACTTTCTATAGGTGGCACAGTAAGGTCTGTATACTTTTTACATGGCGACGCATAATGAATATACCGGACTATCGTTCAAAAACACTCAACCAACTCAGTGGGTGATAACAACGTGGGGAGTTCAATAAACGGACTTTGCGGCCTTAGCAGCTACAAGAATCTAAAAGATAGACATAGAATCATCAAAACTGCAGAAATCAAGGGAGATAAGTTTTTAGTACACAATGTGCACATGTGTACGCACGCACAAAATGTAAAACTTTGTGCACAAATGTACTCGCATCTGTATAAATGACAAGCAATGATCAACATCTTTCGGGCACTGTATTAAGAGACCTAATACATCCCTACAAAAACAAACAATAGTTTTTGGATCGAAATTCTTGCAGGCGTACGAAGGGAATAGAAAGCACAACGGTTAGCAAAGTCATGTAATAATTTTTGTTTTGTGTACAATTTGCTCTTCGGATCATTTTTGTGCGATATTTTGCTAAGCATATGAGTCCCAGCAAAGGACACCACGCTCCTACGATGAAGTACGCCTCGTGCAATATCTTCCAGTTTTTCGAGCCATGGATAACCTTCGTCCTCGGATCCGGAACCAACGATCAGTGGACAGGAAGTTAGTGATGTCATGTCATCAAATGATCACCATTCAGCTCTACGCGGGTAAATAGTGTGTAGCGTGGCAAACGTTCCCGTAGTATGCGCAAGACAGAGCCGAAGTGATTAAATTGGCACAACTAGACAAGGTTACTGGAACAGGCACTCGTATCTATGAAGGCGCTGTCTAACTTCATCGCTGCGATTTATCGCGGACATTTACTGATCACCCGCAACATTGTAAAATCCATATCTTAACTAGAAAAAAGACTCGAGGATGCCAGAGACACTTTGAACCAACAAAGGACAATCACGCTTTAGTAATAAGGAGAGATCTTTCTGTCACAAATTTGGCGAAAGAATTCTCCAATCAGTCCATCATTTAAATAGTGTATCATGAGTTTCACGATAAAACTGCGCAAATTCCTCGGGGCATTTCGTGAGCCGCTGAACGCAGATGGTGAGGACTTGCTGGAAGGCTGCAGCTTGCTCCTTTGAGCCAAAAATGTTTACATTAACATTTATTTAAAAACTGAAGTGAAGCGAGACCGTAACAAACCTGGAAACAAATTTGGGACAAGAACCCAGCCAGTGGATTATTCAAAACGCATTGCGAAGGAGGTGAGCGATCAAGTCAGCAGGTTGTCGCATGAACACAAGTTGGAGAAGTCAAATGTAGCAAAGTAGGTAGGAAACATAGTGGCTGGTTTCTGTGTAATGTAGCCAGTTGTAGGATTTGAACGGCAACGGCAGTCAGTGTTTGACTTTGCCGTCCTTTGGTGGTAGGAAATCGATTTTCACGAAAAATAACACGTTTCAATATAGCAAGAAGATAACACACTTTAACAGAATACACTGAGTTCCTCTATTTCGTTTATTATCCTTGTTAGATGAGCAATAAAAAGGCAGGCGTGCTTCTGTGATCGTTCATGGCTGTAGACTTTAGTTTTGCTGCGCGGTTCATTGATTTTTGTTTTGACGTATCATCTCACTATTCATTTTGGCTATTTAGAGCCGTTGTTTTTGCTTTCGGATCGCAACTCTAATCCGATGCTAACACTCTTAATTTCCGTTCTTTGTGTGCACCTGATTGGTTCTTTATTTGTCCAGTATTTATTGGCTCCACTTGCCCACACGTTCTCCGCGCTCCGGTTGGCTTTCATGTTTGTGCACCATGCTATGTAACGAAGTCGTTTCCCTATGTAAAAGCACCCCGAATCTTTGTCTTTAGTTGGTCGCGTTCTCACTACCGTTAGTGGTTGGAAGTAATCGCAGGGCCCGACACAACACTCCTCAGCTATTTACATATAATTTGTGGAATGAACAGCTTGTTGATACCAAAGATAATCAACATGCGATGTTATCGGTGAAATGTTAGACGGTCAAAAGCTAGTGAGTTCACGTGACTGGTCAAAGAAAGGAAAACGATCCCTAGCCTCACCAAAGTAGGACGAGACTGGTCACGAAATCCGGCTGTTTGCACAAACTTGGTTTCAACCGCCGAATCCTCGAAGCCTCAGCGAACTGAAGTAGGCAGGGGTTGATTTGTTTGTCAATTAGTCTAGACCGTCCACACGGATTTTGGCACACAGAGCAATGGAGCTAGTGGGTAGCTAGGAACCGTTTGCAACCGTGAAAGAAGGAAGATGTTCTGCGAACCTTTCAGGTAGCTTTCTCTCTGTTCGGGCCAAGGTACTTCTACCGTAAGTACAGTTAATTAGTAAGTTGAGAGTTCGGTCTGTGCACAGCAAGCCTCTGACCAGTCGTGTAATAGCACATCTTAATAGATTGATGAAGACGATATCGACATCTTCTGTCTAGTTGGTCCCCTTAAAAACGGCAGCGTAATGAATACCTGTTTTTCGGAACATAAGTTAATGGTTTAGCTTTGGGCTGTAAGTTCAGGTGCTGTGTCATGAGTCGTTCGGGATATCCTCCCTCTTGTGATGTAGAGGTAACGCGTTCCAGTTCATTGTCGATTGTGACCGGAGAGCGAATTTGACAAACTCTAGCAAAACTGGTACGAACTAAGGCTCCTTCGTAGTTCGTGTTAAGGCATTGTCCCGTCAGTGTTGGTTTTCTGTACACAGACCGAACGAATGTACCGTCTGACTTCCCTGTAAGTTAACATCTAAGTAATGGTAGTATCCATTGGATTCGTTTTGCATAGTGAACTTAATCGCAGGGTGGCAAATGTTCAGCATTTCCAATAAGTATGCAACCTGCTGAAGAGTGTCAATGACGACGAATATGTCGTCCATGTACCGGCACTTTGTAAAGAAGAAAGTAGCTCGATGTTTGCCAGGTGGCCCATAAAGAGATCAGCGTGTGTCAATGAAATTAAACTGACGGCACATGGGGCTGAGGAGCCAATGAAACGAACAGCAATGACAGTGATCCGAATTTATGGACAGTATTAAAAATGACCGCTCTATAGCCGAATGTCCAAACGATGGCCGGTGCTCAGACTTTAACCGACTCTCACTGGGCCAAATATAGTTAAGAGTTAAAAGAAGTCGCCAAACAGCTTATAAGGGTGAGGCTCAAACGTACAGAACAAAGCGACAGGACGGTAAATAAGATATGTTGATGTAGACAAATCAACTAGCAGGTGAGTTCGATTGTCGTCTAGAAGACGCGCTTACCGGTACACTATTCCCTGATTGGCTGCGTACACGTGTACGACATCCAGGTTCCAATTGGCCAATTCGGAGCTGGCCAATTCGTGTCCTTGTAGCTGCACAACGCGATGCTCCCAAATCACATGATCACATCCACTGTAAACATATCCGGCGGAAACTGTACCGATGAATGAAAAGGAAATGAAGAGCCAGTTGTGTGAGAAGGTCAAAGTTAAGGATGAGTGTTGGAAGTGAAACCGATCATTTTGGTGCTTATAATGTGTCAGGTAGATGAGTGTAAATCATCAGTTCTCTCTTAGGAAAATGGAGATAAGCAGACGGTCGCAGTGGCATACATGTGTAACTTCACCAGGAGGAGTTGAACTACCAAGCTGAGGTTAAGTTGGAGCCGGATTTCAGCCAATGGTGTTAAAAACGGTCGTGTAAACATATAACGATCGAGGGGCACAGGTGTTCCTAACCCAAGTGTTCGCAGTATTCGTTGTACTCCTGACTACTTAGTCGGAAGTAGTATTGATGAAAAACACACGGCTGGGAATACGCGATAGAATGTTGTGCATAAGTGGAAAGTGGGCCGAAAAGGACCAGGAGTTCGGAAGTGAAACTCTGTTCAGTAGCCAAAAGCTGTGGTGTAGATAAGCTACTTCTCAACGCGTGTGACAACAAGGATAGTTTTGTAAGGTCCAGCAAGCATTGTTTAATCGATGCACCACGCAGCCCAGATAATCTACGCTTCGGAATAATCAACTGTGATCGAAACGGAGCAGTCATAATAAGAGCGCAAATTATGACGCAAAATGAGCTCACCTCTTGCGTTCACAATCCCGTACACTGTCCGATTGTATCCATCCGTTTTGTTCCATCGAAAAATTTCAACCATACGTAGCTCTGGTTCCAGCCGTCGAGTTTGTCTCAGACCGGCGACATCAAAGATCAAGTGTATCTCGCGAAGACCTTCCGGAATGGTGGCCGACTCGGTGAGTAAGCGGACACGAACGATGGGCTGATAACCGGCAGCGCGGTCGGAACGATAAACCAGTCGGATTCGAGTGTCCTGAAAGTGTGGAGAGAGAGAGAGGGTAAACGTGCTGAAGAGCCGATGTGAATCACACAAGCGCAAGTAAGAACTCATCAACCATACTCCTTGCGAGCTGCGTAGCCGCAACATATGGCAGCATGATTGAGGATAGTGAGCAATGAGGTAGGAATTCGGAAGCTTGAGATTTCAGAGCAGTTGTCGCTGGAGCGGAAAAAATAAGCTACGAAGTGGGTCACAGACTCACATGCAACGGAATTGCGTACGACAATGCTCCCCGCCGCACACACAGCCGCTCGTCCCAGTCCATGCAAACAGGCTCCAGCGTGTCGGCCACTGAATCCACCTCAACAAGCAAACTCCCGGACGCAGTTAACACGTGGGTTTCAGATGCTTTACATGTGTCCGGTTGATGCTCGTCGGACATAAACTGTCCGGTCGCCCACAAATCGTGCATCAGCGGTGAAGATGCAAGATGACCGCCTTGAGAGTCGCGTGTAGTGGACTGCGATCCAACCAATTGAGAATCTTGCATGTAAAAATCACCCAAGACAACGATTTCGTTCACGGGAACGTAGACGGAGCAGGTCGCAGAGAAACGGGAAGTGGGATGGCGCAGGAATTCCAGTTTAACTATTGATCCGCCCTCGACTGGTAGATCAAACCTAGAAGAGCGGAGGGATAGAAGCGGTGGTTAGTGAGAACAAATGGGCAGTCTAATATCAAAAGATAATCATGTAATCAATTCCGCTTGCGTCGGAATGGGCTCAAAAGGTGAAAGAAAGAGGATGAAACAAAACAAGTGTATGCGTCTTCGAAGCCGAGACATCCCGAATGCCTGCAAGAGAACGCAAAGAGAAATCCCAAGAGGAAGCTGGTTCTAATTCTCTTTTGCATCTCACGCCGGTTCACTAGGTAGCCCTCCCACCCAGGTGAGAGAAATGAAGGAACAAGAGAACTGGAAAGCAGACTGGTCGGAAACTAGCGCCTGAAAGGTGCTAGACGGTGAACTAAACTGGGTGGAGGTGCATGAATGAGAATGCGAAGTCGTGGGGAATGCGTCTTCGTTAGTTACCATGTCGTGCCGGGGGGACACTTTCCTAGTGATTTCACCGTCACTCATAGCAGACAGGTGAGCGGCTAGAGATCAGTTAAAGCATTCATCTCATCGGAGGTTAAGGGTTGGCCGAGGGCTCTCTTCCATCTAAATTCAACCGTGGAAGACAACAATGCACGGGTTATAGACTCAGCTCGATTAAGGTAGAGCACATAAGTTCCGCACTGTCTCTGAAGACGGAACTGGATAACCGTTGCTTACCGACCGATCACTGTTTGCCTGAAATAAAACAAAACCGAATCAATACAGAGCAAATCCGTGGAATTCTCTCGTCGTGGTCGAGAAGCACATGGTTCTTTACAAAATACTCAGTCGGGCTGTGCACATCGCCTTGCAGTATGGATCACAGCAGATCAGCCATATCAGGAGTGAAACATCATGTAAATAAATAGATAGATTATTCTCGAATACATCGAGGCACACCAAATCAAACATGATCAAAACTGTATAGGCGATTATGTTTCGCAGCAGACACGTTGCTTTGCATGAAATGGGCCGATCGCTAAAAGGTATAGAAGTTGCAGACATTGGAAATGAACTCGTGAGGAACAAAATCGTTAGTGATGTGGCGATAGTTTTAGTTCAGGAGTGTGTGGTGTAGAGATCAGATGTACTGGCGAAATCGATAAGGCACTTGTGTTGGGCCCATTGATTCTATCAAAATAACCTCTGAAGCCACAATTATGCTCCTAATGCCTTTCTCGTTCCTAAGAACTCTTGTCCGAATACCTGTTTGCGTTTTTTCTCACGACACAATTTTTGAAGTTGTTGTCAGTTGCCATCCTCATGGTAAAGTGGGTCGTGAGTATTGAATAAATCACGGAACCGGAGAGTGCGTACTGGCACTGTCATAGAAAAGGAGCTGGTAACGCGGTTAAAAGGGTTGAACATACAGAAAAAGTTCAAGAAACGAAGTGACCAACTCTAGAGGATCTCCTAGCAAGTGTGTATAGGCCCACGGTTAGTTGACACAGTGGCTCTTACAACTTCATACGATGGACACATCGTGTCGATAGTCCAGTCAAGAGGAGCTGTGCAACTCGTTTACCTGCCTCCCTAAACCGAACTGAGGGGAGTTATGCAAGGCTCATAACGACATATTAACGCACTCGTTGGAGAGTCACTACTCGAGAACATCGGAGTCACGAGTCATGCCGGTCAAAATCCGGTCACAACAGTATATAACTAGAATGTGGAGCTTGCGTGCCAACCAAAAACCAACAGGTCACCAGAAAATCTGCTACTCAAAGAACCAGTGTGCAATGCGATTATCAAGTAACCAGTAGCATCTGGTGCAACCAATATTTGAATGTCGCGTATAAAGAGTATTAGTTATGACGAACTGGTGAGATTCTATTCTGAGCTCTGACTCAGGAATCAGAGAAGGTTGAGGGGCTGACAGAATGTGTAGTGTGGGATGGTGATTGGCGGAGGCAAACCGACTAGAGCCGTTTCAAGACCAGAGTTGATCGAAGACAAGCAAATGACCAATGAACCTTTTGTTAAACGTGAATTTGTGATTCTTATGCTCCGGAGTCTATACTGGACGACCAATCGAGTTACGTTAGATGGTCTGCAAAATTAGGACATACAGTACAGAGTCGGTGTAAACCACAGCTTAGTGTAAGGGAAACACAAAGATAAATTGAGGAGTTTTAATTATGAAAGAATGTGTGTGGATCCACATAAGGGAAACAGCAAAGAGAACGGCGATTCGCAAGAACCGGATAAGCACAGGCGCCTGGGTGTTAGTAAAATAGATCAGGTTGGTATTTTAAACAGAGTATAGATAGCTAGTGTATCGCAATTAGATTACAAGCCAGACAGGTCAATTGTCAACCCGAAAAAGCACCAGACAATCGTTTCGCCCTATTGGGGTTCATCAGTGGAGCGCACTCTTCTAGCCCCCTTCATGAAACCGAACCCACGAGTGCTATTGGCTTGCATCACTAGCCAGCAGTTCACGCAAATGAGCCATGGGGGACGATAGCTGACTATCACGGATTGAAATCTAACCCACTTTCCACTGTCGAGAAGGGTAATGCCCATGCAGAAGACAGTGATTGGCCCTCAAGTGTCAGGAATTCCCTAGCAGCAGCCGTGAATCCACACACAGAATAGAGAGTAAAAATAAACAAACAGGACCGGAAACTCCTTCAACGTAATGCTCAAAATCGTCATATAGAATAGATAGGTCACTTAACAATTTGGCTTGTTCAGCAGTGACGTGTGGCGGATTCAGTACAACAGAAGCGATTTTATCCCTGCTAAACTGGGCGTTCGGCTTACCTGCCTAACTCATCCGTCAGCGTATAGCCATTGTGCATTTTCAGGCTATCCAAAACACGAACACCCCAAAATGCAGTTCCATCCCACTGTCGCACAGTGCCACGGACCACAGAAATGCGCCTTCAAAGGAGAAAAAAGAAAAGATTTAAGTGAAAATAGATGAGTTAATGAGAAAAACTGTACAGCTCCAACACACATACACACACACACTGTCTCCCATTATCAGCTGCGGAAAACACTGACAGACAAGTATACAGAGGTTCGTGCTCAAAAACCGAGCCAATAGGGCACAGTAATCTTCGAATTCGTCCCATCAGCTAGAGGACAACAGAGAGAGCGAAATCTGACCTATAGATTTATTGTGTGGGTAACCGCGACAAAGTAAACTTGCTAGTTAGTCCAGCAGGATCGAATTGTTTAGCAGAAACACCAAAAAGTGGAGGTTGACAACCAACTCGCTAAGGTAGACGAGGATATCACAGACAATTCAACTCATCCGACTAGGAGACAGCGGAACCACACACACACACACACACACACACACGCATGGATATACGGAGCCTATCAGAGATGGAAGCAACGTTGATTGACGGCGAAATGGCGAACTCCACCTAAATATAAGTGATAGTTGGGTGCATTGTGAACGGCAGGCGCCGTTGGCATCACGTCAAATACTTTAAACTCGCTTTGTCAACAGACAATCGAGTCAGTATGTATGTTGGGCAGATGGTCAGCTCGGATGGGATATGAGAGGAGCAATCGCAATGACAGCCAGCTGTCACAGAGGGATACGCTCGCAACTACATCCGTGTATGATGATGAAGCAAGTCCACAGCTCCGATGGATGCCTTTATTCCTTGATGCCCCGAATGGCCCCACAAAAGAGAGTTCAAATCTAAGTTCGTTAAACATAAGACTGGGACAAAGCGTCTGTATAGCAAGATATCTCTCGTGTCACCCCATTTCAGCGTGGCATTCCGCTAGAGATTCCACTCTATGCGCAAGGAAGCCAGATGTTCCAGTAGTTAAGGCGTTAGCGGGGCGAGGAGGCTTTAGTAGACCGGTTATATGCACCTGATGAGTTCGCATGAAGTCATAGAATGCAATGTTGGGAGTTAGCAACATCGAAATTACTCCTGAGTAGAGGGGTTTGGCGGGATTTATTTTAGTTCATCACAATTAGATTGCAAGACAGCTAGGTAAACTACCAGTCTGAAAAGACACCAGACAGCCATTTCGTGCTCTAGGGACTCCTCAATGCTAAGCGTCCTCCTCGGCCCCCTACAGGAAAGCAAACCCAGGGTCGCTAGTGGCTTGAACCACTAGCCCACGGCTATATTGCAGTTAGATTTCACTCCAAAATGGTCAGCTATCGTCCCTCCGAGGGAATGCGCACCTCCAAAAATGGCATCAGCATTACGCCGATACACAGTACCGAGGCTTCGCTACCGTTCAAAGACCACCAGTCGCGCTAGGGCTAAGGATACTGCGATGGTGGTCCGGTCTCTTATGCAAGTTCGAACCCGTGACCTCTAGACTACAAGGCAGGCGCATGAATCTTTCAGCCATGGGCCGGAGACTGACGAGCCTCAATAGGACGAAATGACCGTCTGGTGCTTTCCCGGATTGGCAGCTGGCCCAACTGGATTGCAATCTAATTGGGATGAAATAAACAAAGCTCCACTTCATTCGGTAGTCGGGAACATATGAAAAACAGCACACAACATGTATCTGGTTCGCAATGGCCGAAAGGACTGAAATTCAGTTCAATGCGAATCACGGTCCCAATCAGGATGGTGTATCACATTCCATCCAAACAAACAGCACTCCGAATAGAAAGTAACAAAAGTTCTAAGGTGTACTACCCAGTAGGTCGGTACGGATAGTACAACTAAGTTGCATCCTGGATCCATCTGTAGTCAGTTAATCGCCAATCGGAGGAAGCACAGCTGTCCGACGCTACAACATTATTCCGTTGCAAAATTCATCATTTCAGTCTGCGTTCTTGTGCCACCGAACCATACGGTGCTTCTCACGAGTCGATGGTTAGGTGAAAACCTGTGTTAGTATCTCTGGGAGGGGGGGGGCGCAAATACTAATCTAATTAAACAGCCTGGGAATTGCAGATAAGTACCAGTTGCCTTCTCAGACATAGTCGACGAGTCAAGCAGTTTGCACATGTTGACACACAACATCTGGTGCAGCACAGCGCCGGCGACTGAGTTGCGAGGGTTGGAAGTTTGTTACACTGATATCATTTTGTGTAAACATGTCAAAACGTGAGATAACACGCAGTCCAACCGAGCATTTGACAAGTGACGTCTGTCTGGTGTAAGCATTCGGCGATAATTCACGTCGCAAGCTTCCGGAGTTTTCCTGCCCTGTCTCATCAAACTTGGCCTCTTGTGAAGATTTGAGGCAATAACGAATGTATACCCATTAGTCAGCAGCAAGTGTTACTATTTTATTCTCCGATAACTGGGAAAAATATCCGATTAACGAGCAGCAGTGTTAACTTCTTTTCGCGCATCCTAGCGGAGCATGCTCATGACTGAATGCGTCAATGCTTCCAATTTCACGATGAGTCCCCAAACAGACAAACGTGTTGGAGAATCGCATACCTCGAGCTCAGGCTTAGGATAATCACCTGAGCAGCTGAGGTTTTTTTCGAAACTCAGTGGCAAACCATTCCTCAACTGCAACTCCAGATCACCAGAAAGCATTTAGTTTGTTTAGCACGGATAGTGAAAGTTTGTGTGACTTCAATCTACTGTTTGCCGGATGTTGAGCCAATTAGCTAGGCGACGGAAACATCGAATGCACTGACCTAATGCGTTGGATGGTAGATGAAAAGTACCGTAGGTTCTAAGCGAGTTTAAACAAACGAACATTAGCCTTTCGGCTGTCTCGAAGATCGACTGAATCTGTACGAAGGTCAGAGGATGGACACTGTGGGGGTCTATGTTGTGAACCAGGAAGGCGCCGGACAAATGATCAGCGTTTTCGATAGCGGACTCGGTTGTTAGTTAGCGTATAAGTAATCCACGGGCTTTTTTTGTTACCGTTAAGAAATCGTCTGTGCTCATTTCACAGCAATGCATTCATTACAACCATGTATTCGCAGTGGTTGAAGCTGGTTGGTCAGGAACCAAAGAATGACAACGCAAGGCAGACGGAACCGGCCAATAAGAATGCCTTCACAATCAACCACTAAGAGCGACCGGCAGGCTCAAGCAACTTCTAGTAAAAAGAAAAGATTCAACAATAGAAGCAGGGTCACGTGATTCCAATGTAATGGCCGCTACTGGAACCTGTTGCGAAGATCGCCGTCTTCTGAGTTGGCGATTTGGCTACGCTGGGATCCGCAACGGTATCGTCAGCAGGAACATAACAGATATTGTTGACAGCGGTGAAAACATAGCACTCATAAGTGTCACGATCACCAGTTGTTAATGGGACGAATCAGTTGCCGGCATTCACTGTTCGCAAGATTTAAGGATGAGAATTCACACAGCACACCAGGGAGTGTGTGTGTGTGTATGTGTGCAGAATGCTGGTAAAGCTCGAGAAGGTACAAGACTATCGAGCACTTGACTGTCTGGTCTGGCCAGAGCGTGAGGGGTATTGTTTCATGTGTCTGAATTCCTTCAACTCGGTTCTCCAAACCATGTAATCTGTGAATTCCCTAATAAAATGGGTCTCGCGAAATGCATTGATGCAGAAGCGCTTTGGCTGGAATTCCGCCTCCATATACAACGCATCGCTTGGAGAAGACAAACGAGGTGAAATAACTAGACTTAAGGTATTCGACATCGTCAAGTGCTCCAGTTAGCCTCCTCGAATGGAAGTGCTTCGGTATCAGCAGTGCGGACGAAGTGGAAGAAGCGAGCGTAGACAGTGAATTGTCATAAAAGGATTTCAACTTTCCTCATGTGGTAGACACAAGCGCGTAGATGTTGGTGTGCAGTAGTTCGTAACTTTAAAGCGTAACGGAGCACTGCAGGGAGAACCAGACACGCCACCAGCTCTAGCTATCGCCAAACAACAAGTTCAATTGATCGATCGTTCCACTTCTCTTGAGAAGTTGATCATCTCCGGTGATCACGTCCCAGAGAAGGTTGACATATGCCAAGGAAAGACTGTGTGACTGTGCGTAGCCTAGATTATTTAAGGTGGTGGTGAGGTACCAGTGCTTAACCAATTGAGTGTATAACGCTACGGTAGGACCGGTATCACTGTATGGAAATGACACAAAGGGACTGGTTCCTTTTGGGAATCAATTCTTAAGAAGTATCGCTCATGTCTAGTAGGAACACGGGGCAAGAATGTTGAAGTCCGCCAGCTAGTGTTTGGAAAAAAAACCAGTAGTACGACACCACAATGGTTTAAACTAAACTCGCATACTCTGGTCAATCATACCCTCCGAATGCCCGTTGACTGTCTTTCCTGGCGTGTATAATGTGCTGTCCCTGCATCCAGTTGAATGAAATCGAAAAGTGACCAATTGCTGAAGACACTGACTGAGAGACTTGGTTGAACTACCACACGCCGCCTTTGTGGATGAGGCTCCGCGTTCGATAATAATACTATTGGTCGGAGGCAGTATTAGACATGGCGCTCCAGCATTTGAGCTCCTGTACCAGTTAACACAGTCTACTTGAGAGTAAGATTACCGATTTCCTCTCGATCCATCACATTTTAGGACCTCTTTCATTTCCGGACTACTGAAAATCGCTGTCATCCCGCCGGTACGACACAGGATCGGAACTGCCATGCTTCCGTATTCCAATCACGCTGTAAGAATCCGAGGTGCGGAGCTATTTATTGTGGATATATCAACAAGCATATGCATCAACTCAGAACATCAATCGCTCTAATAATCTTGGAATTCTCTCGCGGAGAGTGCGTGGGGTGCTTTGCTTCTGTAGCAATTCCTACTGCACATATACCTGCGACTCCTAAGTGCTATCCTTCTGTTGGGGCGTTGATGTGGTCTGCTGTTGTCCCGTTACCGTCCGGCTCTCCTGGTACTACTGACGTTTGGTGCAGTAGTATCTCTTTTGGCCAATCAAAATAGTTAAGCAATTGAAGTGAATCATCTGAGTAAAAAGTCAAAAATAACGCGAGCCATCTGAGAAGCAATCACACACAGTGAGACACAGTGAGACTGCGACTTCAAATGAAGCTAGAAGATAGTGAGTGTGAGTGAGGCGGACGACTGGCTCACCTTGGGTCAAAGTTGTCGGCCATTACACCATCGTGACGTAGGAGGAATTCCAGCTGACCATAGAATGTGCTACCAGCCTGAGCCATTTGTGTGATCAGTAGTCGGAATTGAAACGAATCACTATGGGCACATGCTTGTTTGGCATCCTCCACGGCGGGATCCTTGGAATTGGCCAATTCACGACAGTGTTGTGACGCACAACAGTCCGGATCAAGACAGTCCGCCAGTCCGTCTGCGAGAGAATGCGCATATTGACGTAGAAATGGACAATATGAAGGCCGGATGGCATTGGTGTGAACCAAAGCGGATAAAAGAGGGAAGGGTGTGCAACGAGACAGAGCAGACCCATGGTGAGTACATGGTATGTGGAAATGGAGTGTTAATTTGGGTGAGTATAAGGAAGAGATGTGCAACCAGACAGCACATCTACTGTCTAGAAAACAGTAGTGAAACGAGTGCGAAGTGCAAAATATAGACGGAATCGGACAGATGCAGGACTGGATGGTGGTATAATCCCTTAGAGGATTGAAGTTTCAATAACGACAAAAGTGGCCTAGTCCGTGTACTGAGGACTTGCATGTGTATTAGTAGTATTACAATAGTAAGAATGATAGTAAGGTTTATCCGTTTCCGAATTTGCAAACGGAGTTTCGAGATTTGCTAGTCTCCACGGCACAGCTGTATATCGTCAACAGGTGCTACACTTCCGTGCTAGGACACGATGAGTAATAATCCAAGCCCAAAGCGTAGCTTTTCCTTTGGGATGGGGGATACAGCAAAAAAATCTCAGTGGAGCTTGGAACAGCGGGAGGCATGCACCCACGCATCAACAGAAAATCTAATTATCTGCTTAATAGAGCCTTATAACAACGAATAAAGCGTGTGTGTGTGTGTGGTCCCCGTAGTGTCTTGCAACATTGCTGCCGTAGAAATTGTTACTTTTGCAAATGGCTGAGGGACAACAGCCTCCGCCACCGAAGCTAGAGCAAAGAGTATGCTGCATATTGCAAAGTCAGTGACCGGAAACTCGAGGTTATCCCAGATTGTCTTGTAGTAAACCAGACAGTCCCCATACAAGTCCTATCCAGAAGTGAGGGCGAATACGCAGCCGAAATTATCAGTGGACAGAGCGCAAACAGTGTAGCCACCCAAAAACTTCCTTTGTGATAGTGGCATGTGCGCAGTGAATCGTACAACTGATCGCATTAGGCGAGCTCATGGTCCTATTCACGCTAACCTCTTTGATAAAGAGCTTCAGCAGTTGAGCTGATTTGAGCTCAAAGAGAAGAGAGTGTTGTCTCTCAAAACGCACAGTTTGGCCAAGAGAAGTAACAAGGTCACTTATGGTGCAAGTCACGAAAGGATATTAAAAGTTTGGGGCCGGTGGTTGATAAAATTGGCCTCTAATAGCCACTAAAGTGAGTAAAACGGCTTACTATCGCAGTTGGTAGATGAGCAAGGCTGCACACAAAGTCGAGAAAGGAAATGGGAGAACAAACGAAAGAGTTCTCGATGTTGGAAAAGTATCAACTGGGAAATACAGGTTGTTACAACGCATACACACTGACACGCAATTCCAGTGTCCGAGATCCACCTAGCCAACGTCAAAAGTACTCACAACTCCATCGGAAACATGAATTCTGGGAGATCTCAACGGAACAACGGGTTTATCACGGGTAAAAAAAGCACATACATAACAAGTCCCGTGTGCAGATGAAAGCAAAAAAGTAAACTATCAAGAAACCAGTGACACGCATCGGGGAACACACCGAATGTGTCATGTGCGTGCACAGTTTGATTAGCTTATGCCTTGTTCCAACAACGGGTGAAATCATGTAAGGAAAGTAGTGTAATGGATTCGATTAACGTAAAAGTAGAGATAACATTATTCGGAAGAGAGTTCCGCAACTGGGATAGATGAATGTAGCGAATGTTTCGGCAGCAATGCAACCGGCTATATGGTGTGGCTTACTTCAAATGGTGAAATCTTGGCGAGGCATTGTAGTTGAGTTCTAATAAGTATCGACATAGGTGGTTGGGAACCATGAGGATCTGAGACACTACTATAAAGTCACCTCTCAGACGACAATGTTGTCCACTGAAAACCCCTAGTAGCTTCAGTCCAAGGTGGTAAGAGAAATAGTATAAGTCCCCAATATTTTAGTCGCTCTTCATTGTGGGGTTTCCAGATCAGCTAGGTCATGTTTCTGTCAAAGAGAGCCTGATCTAGATAGCATATTTCACATGTGGTTTCACGTAGGCGTTGAGCACTCCCGAAAAATCGTAGGATCCCACTAGCCAAACCATTTCCTGAACTGGCTCATGTGGTCTAGCTCCTTTTATTGCTTTCTCGGTTTGTCTTGAGCATCCAAGATCGTTCTGAACGAGCATTCCAAGCTCATTTTCATGAGAAGTGCACTACAGAACGTGCCATCCCAGCTGATATTCGTGAGTTTGCTGCTAAGTATGCCAAGTACTTTGATCATCGCTGCCTGTGAAGCATTGTTAATGCCGGTTGGCACCATCCAGTGCTAGACAGTCATAATCATGCTAGCTCCTAAGAACAAAAGACAGCACTGAATAAGTTGTTTTGGCCTGGGTACTTACTAGGTAAGCCCAATCACCACTTATCGAGGAGGGTTATGTTTTGTTTGCTAAATGTAGGGTGGCCCAAGGTTCGCGGTGGATAAAAGTTGACTTGGCAGCGGGAAATGAAATCACTGACGACCATCTCGCCTTCCAGGCTGCAGTGAACGTGAACCGCCTTGTGCTTGCCTAGAGAGTTTTACGGAACATGGTTCGCAGTCGACACCGGTGGCGCGTCTGTTGATGTCTCCTAGTCGGACTGCCTGTTTAAAGTGTGTTTGCTGCTGAATTATCTGCGGGGTAACCACCGATTATGAGGTAGCCCAGTGGAAGCCGCAAAGAAGCTGCTTCGCTGATGCCGGCCAATGTGTTCACGATATCCAGCTGGTTGTGATCTTGTGTTGCTGACAAAGTGCCGAAACATGGACATCACCGGGTATTCTTGAAAGGAAAGCGGACATCATTTTGCCAAATGAAGTACTCCTATGCTAAACATATGGTACGAGAAGTTACAGATGTAAAGGGTCATTGAGATACCGCGCATCCGCTGGGTGCATTAGGCCTAAGAACTTACAAGGCCATGTTTCTGTACGAAAATGAGCATTGTCACGATTGTCTTCGGTGGCGCAATTTTCCACACCAGTCGCTGTAACTCTCTTGCGACAATACTTGCGGTGTTGGACCGTTTGTGTGGCCCATAGCTTCCCTGTTTTTATTTGTGTCTCCCGATTCTAGCGGCCCACTTGCATTTGGCGCACCAGACAAGAACTACGTACAAAAATTAGTCAACACCTGACCAGCTTACAGAGCTAACCAATGAGCAGCGGCCGAGCGACGGAAGCTGCGTCCGTGGAGCCCGAACGCTGGAAACGTGCATGAGAATGGAGGACGGATCGCACTATGCCATAGCTGGTTAGCCGGTCACGATGACTGCCATCAAAAGAGAAGAGTTGCCGGTTACATGTCTAAGACGAGCTGTGAGGAATCTGCAGAGAATACATGAGAAAGGAATTTCGTCCTATGTACCGGGTTAAAGTTGAGTTAGTGTATAAACCAATGAGATGGTTTAGCCAGATGATGAGTGTAAGCGTAATCCTCAGACGAAAAAATGGTTCCCGGAAATTGTGGCACCTGCGGTGCAAATTTCATCAAACATAGCAGCGGCAGAAGAGTGAAAGATCATTTGCAGAGGGACGGCTGGATGAGTGGAACTAGCAGATCAGCATGCATAAGTGTAAGGCATAAAAAGTCGTACCTTCGTCATTGTCGACTTGGTCATCGCACATCGTTTCCACTTTCGCCTGGCAGGCGCTTCCTTTCCACCCTGGAGCGCAGTGGCAACGGTAGGAGCCGTCGGCGGAAGCAACACATCGACCTCGTCCATTGCATTGGTTAGGGCATCCATCTATTGATGGTGGGAGCGAACAGATACGCACATGGAAGTCAGAAATGATGGCAAGCTCAATGGGATGCGTGAAGAATTGTTGCGTGTGTATTTCATACCCACAGCAGCTAGGTCAACGCGACTGTTTTAGTAAACACACATACACACACATACGTAGGTAATTACACAAAGCTGAAGGGAGTGCAATGAGACATACCAACAAGGGATAGCCAATTTGATTAGCATCTGCGAATCTATTTTCACACGTAAATGCACCAAAATACGGGGGGTACATGTACAACCATCCACAGACATAGATAAATGGACAAATGCACATGTGTAGTACAGACTATTACAATCTAGGTTCTCAACGCTAGGCGCAATCTGAAAGTGCGTTGCGGAAATGAGGAATCCACACATGGACAGAAGCACGCGCCCACGGAACATTGAGGTGTGGTTCCGTGGATGGTTGCAAAATCGCTGGAAAACTATTGGCCTGGTGAAGCGCTTGCCAAATGAACATCGTGCTGAAAGCGCAAAATGAAACCGATGCTCTTTGGCATCATGGAATTTGAAGCTGTGTCCGTAAATAAGAAGGTAACGCGACTTTCTGTTTTAAGAAACAGTGGCCGCAAATAGGACGAGTTGAGGCAGAAGATGCATGGACAGAGAGCATTACAGTGGGGAGAGAGAAAAAGGCAGTTTTATCCTGGATGAGTGTGTGACAATGATAAATTATCCGAGATCAGATGTGAGCCAATTGAGAGAAATCGATTATAGTTCGTTGATGTCAACCGTGACAATGTGACAGGCTACACACCCAAAGTGTCGCATGCCACACGATTGGATGAGGATGGCAAATTGTCTGGTATGAAAAGTGTACGAGAAGGAAGCTGGATGTTTGGCAGCCTGGAGGGACGCGCGCACACACAATGAACGTGTTCGTGGACATTGGCTGAATTGTGTACACAGACGACAACGCTATAATCACTTTGATAAGTTTAGATAAAGTCGGTGAAAGTGCATGTAACCTTTGGGCACTATGTGTGGTCACAGTCAGCGATGCGATACGTTTCCTACATTGTGCAGGGGCATGCTAAACGATGTTTTCTACTGATCTGAAAAGTGGTTATATTCCGGCGATAAAGGGAACGCGTTTATCTGGAGCTATGGTATGTCAGGCCTTCCTAGCTTATAGTGGATGGAGGAATGCTATCAGAATCCAGCCTGGAGGGTGGATTGATTTAATTAATAACTTCGTGGATATCGTCGAGCGAAATATCATAACTTAAGACTTTGTTACTGCAAACTCTGTGTATGCAGGCATATGGTCCGCTACGATACTCAAGGAAGTGGCGAAGAAGCAATTTAATGCTTCACAGATTGCAGTTGCGTGACGAGGTAAATGACCCTCACCGTCGGCAGTTTCAGTAATAAAAGGAGGGCGGTCATTGGTTCTTTGACACAACATTTTGACAAGCTCCCTCGTATTACATCTTATCCGTAGGGCTATCTGGGCAAGTTTGACTCAAGTGATAAATTCGCACACGTGAGATCAGTGAGAAGTCATTTCTGAATATTGCCGTTAGTTTTCTGTCTGACAGAGTGCTCGGTGGCATCTTCGGAGATATGAGCACTACGCCCACACTGTGGATCAAGGAGTGCTGTAGCGCGATGGACCTGATAACAGAACTGTCCTACAGCAGTGCGCACACTGGTAGAGAGGAAGAATACCTCTTAGTCAGGAGAGAGGATTAACTGTTGAAAGTATCCCGAGTTTATTGCACACCGCGTAGTCGAAGCGAGTTTAGTGACCATCTTAATGTGGAAACTGAGTCGAATCACTTTCTGATTATTGCTAGGGAGACTCTAAGATTTCGGGCTGTGCGTTGCGGATTCCAGCAGATTGACCGATCTGGTTGAGACCAATTAATCTGGAGAACACACCATGTCTCGAACAGATAGGAAACACATATCCGTATTAATATTATTAATGTTGATAGCACCATCTCTTTGACCGTACTTACGTCGTCGATTTCATGATTACCATTCGACTCGGTGTCGAATTTAAATTTTTATAAGTATGCACCTCATCGCTGGTTAGCAACCGCGACGCCTTAGTCCCACCTAGGTGCAATTTCACGGTATAAAACACTGCAATGGAAGCGTTGGGAACACAGCGCAACCAGGGTGGGCGACGCAGACACATAAGTCAGTAAGTCAACGACAAATTCGAGACGCATTCGGTTTGGCGTGATCTACGGAGTACAAGCAGTAAAAATGGGGGGTATTCATAAGAAAGTATGGATTTCAAATAAAACTTGAATCCCGTTAGCTTAAAACAACCTACAACGCTAGGTTGTGATACAAAAAAATTAAATTTCGGGGAGAAACAACGCGAGATATTGAGATCAAAGCTTTTGTCTCGATCATGTCGGTTCAGACGTGCTTCACGCAAATCGAGCTTAAAAGTGATTTACTTATTTATTCAAAAAAGATTCGTTAAAAGCGTGTAAAAGCACTTGGAATAAGTTCTAAACAGAAATTAAGAATGCTTTCCATCAGAGAAACACTTCTCCCTCAGAATAAAGTAATTCGCGAAATAGACACCACCATTTAACAACACCTAAATCCGCAGGTGCATAATAACATTGAGAATGACTCAATACATGGCAGAAGTGAAACAAACACCTCTAACCAATAATGGGGCCACAGGAATGGTAGAATAATTAATCCCGTTGTGCGAGAGTAACAACGTCAGAGTGCTGCGAAACAGAACGGAAACGCCGGTTGTTCAAGTCGTGCACGTGCATCTGGCTTGTGGGAATGAAGCGCGTTTGTTTCACGATGCGGCGAAGGTGGTTTTGCAACAGCATTCTCATCAACAGGAACAGCCATTCTAAACTGATGCTTCTCTACCGCACATACACACAGAAACCAACGGAACGAAGAAAATAATAAGTGGGAGAGAAGGAGGGCCTAGTGTAAAGCCTTAACGTCCTAAGCCAACATTCAGAGTCAAGGCACTTACAGTTTTTCAATAACATACCGTCACAAACAGTTGGCTATCATGCAAAGACGGGGAGGCATCGGCGAGACAATTTCCTTGCGGCTTTCATTGTCCCGCGTCATAATCAGCCATTACCCCGCAGATAACTCAGCACCAAAAAGTTTAAACAAGCAGCCCGACTAAGAGAGGACAGCAGACACGTCACTGGGGTGGACTGCGAGACATGTTTTGCGACGATTCGAGCCAAGCATAAGGTGGGTCACCTTGACTCCAGCAAGAAAAGTGAGACGAACCCACGGCACCAAGTTTTGTAGTCAGTAACTTCATTTCTTTGCAAAGTTAACCTTTGTTCACCTCGAGCTTTGCGCCACCCTAAATCTTGCAAACAAAAGCTTAGGTAAGCTGTGACCGGACATACGTAGTATGTACCTAAGTCAAAGCAACTTATTGTGTGCTATTTGTTGTCATAAGAGACTAGCCTGATTACCGCTGCCTAGCATACGCTTACGCACATCATCGTTGCAGACATGCTGGTGCCATCCGACACTAGCAATGCCTCGTATGTGTTTGTTTCATGATGTAGTGCAAAGTGTTTTGCCATAACGCTGCATTGGTTGCCGTAGAGCGTTAGTGCATTGTGTGAGGATCAGTTGATCTTTCCATTTTCAAATCATATAGCAATGACCGAATTTGATCCTCTTACCATTTCAAACGAAATGTTTTATGACCTGCTTTACCGCTGGATAGATTGCCAAGGTCTCACTAATGGAGATAAAAAGTCTCCGGATAGAGTTGGTAGCGTCGACACCTATGCGAAGCGACGAAAGCAGGCCCGGGCAACCTCATTTGCGGACGCGCGAGGGCCGTTGAGAGACTAAACGGGATGGGATCACTGCTGGGTCATTCGGTAGCCTTCGATGACGGTCTATTCAACGTACAGTTACGCGATGGAAGGATCGATAAATGAACATACATTCACTCCCCTGATTGGTATTCCGATGTAGCAGAATGGAGGACGATTATCCGACGGCATGTTAATCGTTCAGGTTGCACATCGATGGTGCAGTGGCCATTCAGCTCAATATGGTGGGCTTCCAAGTAATACAGAAGGTTTGAGCCGAGTACGACTATCAGTGGTGGTCGCTCGCAGTTGAATTTATCAAGGGTCGGCCGTGTGAGGCAAGGTCTCACTTAAACCAAGCAAATCACAAGGACGGGGGAGGGAGTCGGCTTGGTCCGAACAATTTAGTTTGACCGATGCACAGAGTCAAACGCGGATGTCCACTATGACGAGTCATTCGGATATACCTCCGTTCGTCAGGTGGGACTGGCCCAACAGTTGCGTTTGCAGTTGGCAGACGCGTGTTCATATCCAGAAGAGGAACGAGCACATAGTTATCAAAAACACGCAGCCACTGAGTCAAACCATAAGATAACTAAGAGCGCTTAGGATAAGATGGCTACACTCGAGTTCATCGGTGAGGTGAGGTGGGATGCTAGTTGCTGAAAGAGCGCTGCAAGGTTGATTTGAGAAATGTTTTGCCGTCGCACAACCCGTGACTTCGCAAGCGATCGTATTTTTGGGCCCAAATGACATACATGGGAACGGCCCATTGATACGTACCGTGACAGTGTGGCAACTAATCAGACAATGCTGTTTCAAATGCCCATCAGGATAATGTCAGCCCATGGGATAGTTTACAATTTCAAATGTTGTTAAACAAAATTTGAGATATCACACATTTATCGACAAAAATGACGCGTAATAAGGACAGGCTTCAGATGAGAGCTGTGCGTCATTGTTTTAAGTGAATGAGTGCCGGGAATCGCATTGACCATGAAAAGTCCATGTGAGGTGCTGCATTGAATGGGGAGAGCATAAGGGCATGCTTAAATATGCGCATTGGGGTAGAGAGTGAGTGAATTAACGTCTGTCCCAGAAAGAGGATAACGGGCGGAGGACAAAATGAACAAAGGAAACGGATAATTACGGGTTTGGACGGACTCAAGA